ATCAAGTACCCCCACTGTGGGTGTGATCCAGCTACTCGCACTAAAGAGAGAACCAGATACACCCGCTGCAGGTATGACCAGTCACTTACACTGAGGAGACAATCAATTATCCCCTCTGTTGGTGGGATCTACCGGTCTTGTAGATGAGATCACCCTACAGTCCCGTTGTTGATGGGGGGCAGACACTCTTTCTCACGAGACAATCAGCGGTGAAGGAGCAAGTTTACTGCGCTTCTATTCTTCTGAACGAATGCACTGAATGTGCTTAGTTGATTTCCTCTTGGGGCAGTCTGTGTAAGTGGAGCATACAAGTTTATGATTGACTGTTACTTGTTTGGTTGATGCTCCCCCTGAAAAGGGACATTAATTGTTGACTTACTTGTTTCCGAAATTCCCCAAGAGCAGTGGGGGAAAAACTCGCTGCTTCAGCGCCACCTTCGAATGATTCCCTTCCGCTCTAAGGGAAGGCAATGCACGACGGCTGTGATAGGCTGACACTAAAATTCAGTGGGCAATAAATGATAGTCTCATTTCAGAAATATTCCGAGAACTGCGAAAGTGAAACTCAATGCTCAATCACCGGCAATCAGAAGAATCTTTTATGGCCCGTGAGAGGACCGCATTACACAGCCTGTGACTGACTGCAGCCTGTGGCTGACTGGGACTTGATTGGTTGGTATTTTCCCTGAAGATGGTTATTAAAAGATTGCCTCAGCTGTGATCGCCTAACACTCAAACTGATTTACATATTCCCGGGAAAAGATATCTATTGAATCACTTATTTCCAAAATATCCAGAAGTAAAGGGATAACTATATGCTAATTGGTGTTCGAGATTCACCCCTCTGGTCGCAAACGAGACCGGGCACACCTGAACCGTAACTGCAAATATCTGTGCTTGTAAGTGTTAAAGGTCGGCGAAATAGCGGAATACGAACCTTGTGAAGAGACGGTTATTTATATGAGAGGGAGAGTACGCAGAAAGAGAGAGAGAGAGAGCAGGCTCACGCAGAGTGAGGGGAAGAGGACTGAGAGAGAGAGAGAGTGAGACAGAGAGAGAGAGAGAGAAAGAGAGAGAGAGAGCAGGCTCACGCAGAGTGAGGGGAAGAGGACTGAGAGAGTGAGAGAGCAGGCTCACGTAGAGAGAGGGGGGGACTGAGAGAGAGAGA